AGCAGGGCGAGGTGATTTCAGACTTGTAGTCGTGGAATGTGGCATGGGGAGTGAGTTGTAGAGAGAAGGGGGGTACTGGGAGGCTATGGCTCCTGGTGGCTGGGCCCAGACCGGCTTCAGAGGAGTAGTAACTGAAAAGACCTAGCCACTTACTGGCCCCCATGAACCATAAGTAAGTGCTCTGTTCTCCATATACTTCTGTCTGTGGGAAGAACATTTCTTTTGGCCATCAACTGCCCATTTGTAGAACTTCCCAAACTCTCCTGTTGCCTTGCTTCACTACCCAGTGGAGGGTTTCCTATGGTCTAGCGTGATGGATGCCATTCTTATCATTGATTTGACAGTCAAACAGCTGTGTGAACTTTGCAGGTCTCCTAAATGTTTCATAGACTGGAATGGGTTATTTCTAGTGAGGAGCACTTGTTGACCTTGTGATTGTTGTTGATTTCCCCGTTTCCAGGGCTCCAAACAGCTCCTTCCACCTTCCTCGCACTGTTGGGAGCGGTTGTTGTTTTTGTTGTTCCTGCTGTTGAGTTGGGCACCAACTCATGGTGACCCCATGCTCAATAGAACAAAATGCTGCGTGGTTTTACACTGTCCTTATGATTGGTTGCAGATCATACTGTTGTGATCCATAGGGTTTTCATTGGCTGATTTTTGGAAGTAGATCGCCAGGCCTTTTTTTTAAGTCCATCTTTGCGTGGAAGCTCCGCTGAAACCTGTTCAGCATCATAGCAACACATAATCCTCCACTGACAGACAGGTGATGACTGTGCATGAGGCGCATAGGAGGTGTTGTTGTTAGGCGCCGTCGAGTCAATTTCAACTCATAGCGACCAAGTGAGACAGAGTTGAACTCCATAGGGTTTCCTAGGCTGTAATCTTTATGGAAGCAGATGAATGGATTCAAACTGCTAACCTTTGGTTAGCAGCTGAGCGCTTAACTGTTGAGCCACCAGAGCTTTTTATTGGGGGTGGTAAAAAAACAGAAACCAAACCCGTTGCTGTCAAGTTGATTCTGACTTATAGCGACCCTACAGGACAGCGTAGAACTGCCCCATAGAGTTTCCAAGTAGTGACTGGTGGATTCGAACTGCCAGCCTTTTGGTTAACAGCCAAACGCTTAATCTCAGAAATCATAGTCCCAACCCACAATGACTGATGCAGTTACTTGTGAATGGTGGTAAGAACCTAGGTGAACAGGGGTCCAGGTGTCCTTATCAAGAAGGTCATGTGCCATAAAGTGTTTAGAGTGGGAAGGTTCCATTTCAAACTCTTACTCTGCCATTTACTAGCTGAATCACCTGGGGCAAACACTCACCCTCTCTGCTCTTTGGTTTTCTCCAGGGCTTCAAATCCGTGCTGATAATTTGCATTTCCACCCCTTGGGGATATTGTTAAAATGTGGATTCTGATTCAGTTTATCTGGGGTGGAAATGCAAATTGTCAGCAGGGTGTTCAACCAAAATGAACCAGTTGAAAACCCTGGTTTCCTCATTTGTACCTGGGGATAGTAAAAATACTTGTCTCACCTCACTGGGTTGTGTGGAATATCAAAGGAGATAATGAACGTGAAGGGGTTTTGTAAGGGTTAGTTAAAGTGAATATTATTATCCTGTGATTAGGATTTAGGTTCTAGGTGGCCTCAGACCCCCACAAGCTGTGTGCTGTTATATGAGAGGTAACTCAGGTGAAAGTCAAAGAGGCAAGTAAACAGAACGGGGCAGGTGATTCATTAGCAAAAGGTTTAGTAATGAAAAGTGTTTTTCATTGACAGACATATTTCACGGCTGACAGGGTCTTTTAAAATACCTGGAGGGAAGCAGCTCATTTGCATGTTAAATAGTCTCTGACACCTTATGGGAAACTCCAGCTCCAGTCAATTTAGAGACAGTTTGGCTCCTATATCATCTATTTTATGTATTTCAATTTCCACTTCTTTTATTACTGGGGACATTTGCATGAAAACTGGGTCTTGGGTGTTGTTTGCTTTGCTGCTGCTTCTCCACCCTGAGGCAGTTTCAAGTCACAGGGTGGCCTCATTGCCTACAGGGGGCAGGCCTGGAGGGTGATGCAATAGGAGTATGGAGTTCAGGGGAGCCAAGGGCTGGGAGGTGGTGTTGGGGGCAACCAGGGAAGATGGCCGTCGACTTGTTAGCTCTGGGTTTGTGCTTCTCATTTGGGGACCCATGCTACTGGCTCTGCACAGGCCTCGTGGGATATGGTTTATTCACTCACTGATTCATTCATTCGGTAAATGCTTTTGGAGCACCTTCTATGTACTAAAGGAGCCCTGGTGGCTCAATGGTTAAACGCTCAGCTGCAAACTGAAAGATTGGTGGTTTGAACCTACCCAGCGACTCTATGGAAGAAAGAGCTGGTAATCCGCTCCTATAAAGATAATAGCCAAGAAAGTTTCAGAAAAACAAAACCCTATTAGGCGGTTTGACTCTGTCACATGGAGTCACTATGAGTCAAAATCAACTCCACATAATACCCAACAAGGACAAGATCAGTTATGTGCTAGGCCAGAGTTTGGCAGCCTGAAGGCCAAACCTGGCTATCTTTATGACCCACAAAGCCTAACATGTTTACTGTAGTGCCCTTTACAGGCAAAGTTTGCTGATCCTTCTTCTGGGCAGAGAGAACAGGAAGTGCAAAAGCTCAGAGGCCAGAATGTGCCTGGCATGTTTGAAGAATAGTATGAAGGCTAATGCTGTTGGAGTGGTGTGAGAAAGGGGTAGTTGTAATAGGAGCTGCTAATGATGCCTGGAGGAGCCCTGGTGGCGCAGTGGTTAAGTGCTCGGCTGCTAACTGAAAGGTCAGCAGTTTGAACGAACCCAGTGACTCTGCAGGTGAAAAGACCTAGCGATCTGCTCCTGTAAAGATTACAGCCTAGGAAACCCTATGGGGCAGTTCTACTCTGTTCTGTAGGATCTCTATGAGTCGGAATTGACTCAACAGCACACAACAACAGCAATGATGTCTGTGTGCACAGCTCTGAAATGATAGTTACAAGTAACAGTGGTTAGCGTGCTCGGCTGCCTCCCATCTTGAAGTAGCATCCTTCCATCACTCTTTATCCCCTTGCCCTCTTTGCTATTTTTCTCAGCACTTAATACCAGCTGATATCTTCTTTTTTTTAAATTGTAGTTTAGATGAAGTTTACGGAGCAAATTAGTTTCTCGTTGAACAATTAATACACATATTGTTTTGTGACATTGGTTGCCAACCCCGCAACATGTTAACACTCTCCCCTTCTTGACTTGGGTTTCCTGTTACCAGCTTTCCTGTTTTCTCCTCCCTTCTTGTCCTTGCCCCTGGACTGGTGTGCCCATTTAGTCCCATTTTGTTTTATGGGCCTGTCTAATCTTTGGCTGAAGAGTGAACCTCAGGAGTGACTTCAGTACTGAGTTGAAAGGGTGTCCAGGGGCCATACTCTCAGAGTTTCTCCAGTCTCTGTCAGACCACTAAGTCTGGTCTTTTTTTGTGAGTTAGAATTTTGTTCTACATTTATCTCCAGCTCTGTCCGGGACCCTCTATTGTGATCCCTGTCAGAGCAGTCTGTGGTGGTCGCCAGGCACCATCTCGTTGTGCTGGACTCAGTCTGACGGAGGCTGTGGTAGTTGTGGTCCATTAGTCCTTTGGACTAATCTTTGCCTTGTGTCTTTGGTTTTCTTCATTCTCCCTTGCTCCAGATGGGGTGGGACTAGTGGAGTATCTTAAATGGCTGCTCACGAGCTTTTAAGACCCCAGATGCTACTCACCAAAGTAGGATGTAGAACATTTTCTTCATAAACTGTGTTATGCCAATTGAGCTAGATGTCTTCTGAGACCATGGTCCCCAGCCATCACCCCAGCAACTGGGTTCCTCAGGGAGTTTGGATGTGTCTAAGAAGCTTCCAATACCTTGCCTTGGTCAAGTTGTGCTGACTTCCCCAGTATTGTGTACTGTCTTACCCTTCACTAAAGTTACCACTTATCTATTGTCTAGTTAATGTTTTTCCCTCCCCACTTTTCCGCTCCCTAGTAACCATCAAAGATTGTTTCTTTTTGTGTGTAAACCTTTTCATGAGTTTTTATAATAGTGGTCTCATGCAGTATTTGACCTTTTGTGATTGACTTATTTCACTCAGCATAATGGCCTCCAGATTCATCCATGTTGTGAGATGTTTTGCAGATTCATCATTGTTCTTTATTGCATCATATTCGATTGTGTGTATGTACCATAGTTTGTTTATCCATTCATCTGTTGATGGGCACTTAGGTTGTTTCCATCTTTTGGCTATTGTGAATAATGCTGCAATGAACATGAGTGTGCATGTGTCTATTTGTGTGACCAGCTCTTATTTCTTTAGGCTATATTCCTAGGAGTGGGATTGCTGGATCGTATGGTATTTCTATTTCTAGCTTTTTAAGAAGCGCCATATCATTTTCCAAAATGATTGTACCATTTTATGTTCCTATCAGCAGTGCGTAAGAGTTCAAGCTCCCCGCAGCCTCTCCAACATTTTTTATTTTCTATTTTTTTGATTTGCGCCAGTAATGTTGGGGTGAGATGGTATCTCATTGTGGTTTTGATTTGCATTTCTCTAATGGCTAGTGATCTGAAGTATTTCCTCACGTGTCTGTTAGCCACCTGTGGCTGATATCGTAATGTATTACATATTTTTTTGCTTAGTACCTGTCACCTCTCTAGATTGTAAGCTCCATGTGGGCAAGAACTTTATTTTGTTCGCTCTCTCCCTAGTGACTAGAACAGTGCCTGACATTGTTGAAGTATGAATGACTTTCAGAGTTGATTTGTGCCAGATACTATGCTAAGTATTTTATGTACGTATCTCTTTTTATCACAATAGCCTTTGAGGTAGATACCATCCCTGTTTTTACAGATGAGGAAACTGAGGCTCAGTAAGATCAAAGAAATGACCCAGATCATACACCCTATTAAGTGGCAGAACCAGGATTTGAGCCTAGGTCTGAGTGACTACAAAACCCTTAACTGTTACTCTTTGTCTCCTTTCTTTTCTCCTGCAGGGTCTGGTGACATGGCCAGAAGGGCCCTAAAGCTTGCTTCGTGGACCAGCATGGCTCTTGCTGCCTCTGGCTTCTACCTGTACAGTAACAAGTACTTGGACCCTAATGACTTTGGCGCTGTCAGGGTGGGCAGAGCAGTGGCTACGGTAGGTTTTCCTCATTTTGGGAGCTGCAGTAATGCTTTCATGAGTTCATACCTGTAGCAGATGAACACGCTGGTTGCACATATATGGAGATAGGCATACACTCTTACATCTGCTAAAGCTGCCCCTACATAATTGCACAGGCATGGATGTGCACATTTGTATACCTTGTTCCCGTACACACATCCTCTGCCACCCTGAAGGTAAATAGAATGGGATTGCTCAGGGTTGCTATTTTGAAGCCTTTACATTTAGGATTCTGTATCTTATATTAATGATGGACTCAGAAGGGTGGAGCTTCTCAGCAAGCATGCATGGAGAAGGACTCTGCAGCTTTGACTAAGTTCCACCAGAAAACTTGGTTTCTCTCAAATCTGCTGGTGGGAATGGCTCTTGATGTAGGGCTCATACTCAGAATGTCTAGAACTTTGCTCCTTCCCGATCCCCAAACTGACAGACAGTCTGAGTTGAATATTTGACCTTTAGAGGTTTTCTCCAGAGGCTCAGTAGGAACATCATCCTGGTATGATCATGTCCTCTTTACTCTGCTGACATGATGCTCCCAGACATTTCCTATATGATTGCCCCACTGGTGGGTAGATTGCCACCTGCCTCATGCTCTCTTTCCTCCTCTCTGTGCTGCAGGATGAGCTCATCCTTTCTTCCCCTTGATGTAGATACACTGTGATGTATGGTCTGTTTTGGTTGTTGTCTGAGCGTTTCCTTAACACTTGATTTTTGTCAAGCATTCTCCCGAGCCTTGCTAAGAGAGGAGGCCACCGGTGTGGTGCTTGCCCTGTAGGATAAGCTGTCTCATTTTGAAATCATAGAATCAAGATGAGCTTTGGGTAAACAGGCTATGGAATATGAAATATGAAGGACTTCCTCTGGGTCCAGAGCCCTGGTGGCGCAGTGGTTAAGCGTTTGGCTGCTACCAAAAGGTCAGCAGTTCGAATCCACCACCTGCTCCCTGGAAACCCTATGGGGCAGTTTTACTCTGTCCTGTAGGGTCCCTATGAGTCGGAATCAACCTGGTGGCAATGGATTTCTTTGGGCCCAGCATCATCTTATATACTTTGAGGGGTAAAACTGAACTGTCCCACCCAGGCCCAACCCTCAAGGAGCTTCTGGTTGAGGAGTAGGCACAGGAATGGCTTAAAAACAATGCATAGCCATGTACTGCACCAAGATGAGTGACTCAGATGACCACTGCTGTGGGACCCAAACACAGGAGTACATCCTGTGAGCTGGGAGTCAAGATGAGTGCCCTAGGGGAAGCAGGGTTTGAATGGCGCCTTAGGAGTCTGAGTAGTTAGAAACAAAGGGGAAAGGTATCATCCAGTTCTTTATAAACCAGCCGCAAGGCTATAATTCTTTATAGGCCAGGCTCCGGTCTTGATCATCTTTGTACACTGCTCAGCAACCAGATCCTGCTTGTGGTGGTGGTTAACAAGTATGTGTCAAATAGAATAAAGCTTTGGGGGGGGGGGTGGTCCACACAAACGAAAGAACTTGTCTCAGTATCAGCCTTCTAAGCCCCTTAACTTCTAGGGTTCTTAGTTCTAAAAAGGAAGGTTTTGGGTTAGATAATCCCCAAGGCACCTCCATGCCTGGGATATCTTTGAGCCTGTCATTCTTTGATTCACCAAGGATCAGGAGACGTTTTCTGGAGTTTTGGCTAGGAGACCCAGAATCAAAACTTATGTTATTAGAGCAAATCAGTGTATAAATACCACATTAGGTTGATTTGTGATACAGAGAGGCAGGGTAAATTAATCCAAGAACATCCATCCAACAATATCCATTCAGCTGATACTATAAAAGGTCTTGTAGGTACCATGATGAACAGGAAGGACAAATGCTTGCTCTTACAGAGCTTAAATTCTAGTGTTGGGGAGACAGTGCATAAACAAGGAAAAGTATGTGCAAGATAATTTTGGCTGGTGGCTTGTTTTAATAAATAATTGAGAGTTCCTGGTGGGTGGGGGCTAGAGTTTGGGCTTCACTGCAGAGGAAGCATCTGTACAGAGCCCTGAATGACAGGAAGAAGCCAGCCAGGGTAAGGTCTGGGGGCAGAGTGTCTTAGGGGTGGGACTGTCCACTCCCCCAGACATCCCAGCTGGTGTCAGGAGGAGTAGTATTTGATGTCCGGGCACTAAGCCTTCCCCTCCCTTGGTTCACAGACAGCTGTCATCAGTTATGACTACTTCACCTCCCTGAGGAGTGTTCCCTATGGCTCAGAGGAGTACCTGCAGCTTCGATCCAAGGTAAGGGACCAGTGGGACAGCCAGGACATGACTGGATAAATCCTGAAGAGGCTGCAAAGCCAGCAAGCTTCCTGTGTGCAGCAGGAGGTGGGCAGGGGGCAGCGTGGGGACTGGGATTGGGGCCCCTGGAGATCTGGTTTGGGAGGAGGGGGACAGGAACCTCTCCTCCTTCTGCTTGGAGGTGTTTTAGTGCCGATGGGCTTGGCTGCCAGGCAGTTAAGCTGACCCCATGGTGCTGAGATTATTAATCTAGAGGCGGCTGCCGAGGAGGCTGGTGGGTGTTTCTGCGGAGGATGAGTCTCTGGGATGACTCAGGAGGGATGGAGGTTCTGTCCCTGAGATAACTGAGCTGGCTTCCAAACTGTTTTGTCAGCCAAAACCCAGTTCAAAGAGGTTAATTGCTTTCCTATCCCCTGAAGGCCACATGGGGGCCTCTTTGATCTCTGAGTGGAGTTTCGACCCTACACTCTCATACCTCATTTGGAGTCAGGTAGTTGATTTTGATGCAGCATCTAGGTGTCCCAGGGAGTTGGGAGGATCAAGCAAGAGGGTACTTTCGTGGGATGTAGGTTGAGTTTGGGGTCAAGTGTAGATACCTTTGATTCTTCCTGTGAGAGGCTTGCCATACAGACCTATATGTCTGCTCAGTCAGTCCCCTCAGCCTGGAATGCCCTTAAGCAAACAGAAACCTGTTGCCATGGAGTCGATTCCGACTCCTAACGACCCTATAGGACAGAGTAGAACTACCCCATAGGATTTCCAAGGAGTGGCTGGTGGATTTGAACTACTGACCCTTTGGTTGGCAGCCATAGCTCTCAGCCACTGCGCCACCAGGGCTCTGGAAGACCTTAGGAAATGCTTTGTCATCCTTGCGACTTAGCTCAAACACCTCTCCTTTGGTGAAGCTTTCCTTCAGTCATCCTACATTCATGGAATAATTACTTCTTACATTTTTATTTAAACTTTTCATTATGGAATTTTTCAACCGTCCACAAGAGTAGAGAGACAGATACAATGAATTGCCATGGAACTATCATCCAGTTTCAGAAATTATCAAAATTTTGCCATTCTTATTTCATCTACTCTGTCATTCATTCATTCATCCATTTATTTATTTATTATTTTTTATTGAAATATTTAAAAGTAAACCTCAGTCATCATGTCATTGCACCTGTAAATATTTCAGTATGTATCACTAATAGATAAGGACCTTTAAAGAAACATAACAACAGTACCATGATCATACCTAACAAAATTAATAACTGTTTTTTAATATCTTCTGATAGCTAATCCATGTTTCCATTTCCTTGTTGTCCCAAAAATGTCTTTTTTTATAGTTAGTTTGTTCAAATCTGGCTCCAAATAAGGTAAAAAGATTGCATAGCTTGAGGTTTCCTAAATTTTTAAAAAACTAATGATTCGCCTCTGTCCCACCCTCTTTTTTTTTTTTTTTTGAGTCATTTGTTTGTTGAAGAAACTAGATCATTTATTCTGTAGAATTTCCCACATTCAAAGTCTGGCTGATTGCATCCTAAAAGTGTCGTTTAATGAGAAATACATTCACATTGTACATAATTCAAAATATATAATATTCGAAACATATAAAGTCACATGTCCTCCCTCCGTTCCTCAGGTACCCAGTTTTCCTGCCTGGAGGCAATCATTATTTCTTGTGTATCTTTCTAAGAGATGTCTTCCTATTTGAATTTAATCACTCTATCCTCTTTATTCCTACAACAGATGATAGTTGGTTACATGTCTTTCTCTCTTTTTTAGATTTTAGTAGCGCAACAGTTAAGTAAGCTCTTGGGTGCTAACCGAAAGGTTGGCAACTGGAACCCACCCAGTGGCTCTGTGGGAGAAAGACCTGGTGATCTGCTGCCCTAAAGATTACAGCCTCGAAAACTCTAGGGGGCAGTTCTACTCTGTCACATGGGGTTGCTATGAGTCAGAATTGACTTGATGGCACCCAACAGCAACAAACAGCAGACTATAGGTTCCTTTAGGTCAGGGATTGGGTCTTTTTTGTGTGTGTCTTGAATCTGTAGTGGTGATGCCAAAGAACTAAGTTGATTTATTGTCTCTTTTAATGCTAGGCTGTACCTTGTTAACTTCTTGCCTTTGGAGAAGCCCCAAAAGAGTGCAGGGTTTGTAGTTGGAAGACCTGAGTTTGTGCTTTGGCTTCTGGCAGGCTACCTTTGGAGCTGCTGTTTTCTTGGCCTGTAGACTAGAGACAGTAATACCACTTGCTAAGTATTATAGAGATAATATTGGAGACAGTGACCTGTGGAATGTAAAAACAAAACAAGACAAAACCAGTTGCCATTGAGTCAATTCTGACTCATGGTGACCCCATGTGTGCAGAGTAGAGCTCTCCATAGGGTTTTCAAGGCTGTGACCTCTCAGAGGCAGATCGCCAGGCCTTTTTTCCACAGTGCCTCTGAATGGGTTTGAACTGCTGGCCTTTCTGTTAGCAGTCAAGCACTGAACTGATTGCACCACCCAGGGACTGCTTATGGAATGTAAAGCAGGTATTAAAAATATAGAAGGTGTGCCCCAAGAGGACAAGAACTTGCTCTGTATCGTGTATCTCTGTGTCCCCAGCACCTAGATCAGTACCTGGGACACAGTCGGTGCTGAATAAAGTTTTGTTAAAGAATGAATGAAATGTTCGTTTTTATTGGAGGATCGAAAACCACCTGCCTTTGGAACTTGATGCCCTCCTGCCGTCCCCCACCCCCTTTCTCCATAGCACTCCATAAACAGTACTACGGGCCTTAGAACTCACTGTAGAATGATACTCTACAGAGACGGCCAGGCCAGGGCACAGGGCAAGCTTTCTGCTTTGGGAATCTGCAGAGCAGGCGGAGCGAGTGGGGCTGGCAGGTGGGGGGTAGGTGTTGTGAAGACAGTTGCCGTTTACACATAAGTCATCTAAAAGGCAGAGGTGCCGCCATTCCTGGAGAAGTTGACAGCTTTGGGGGATGCAGTAAGGAAAATGCAGCTTGGATTTGGCAAGAGGGTAGCACGTGGTGGTTAACACCCGATAACAAGATGATTTCAAACTTGGGTATAGGCTGGTCCCAGGGAGTTGTGCCTGGGAAAGGGGGAGCAGACTGGCCCTGAAGAACACGAGCAGATACTGCAGGAGTGTTTTCTTCCATCAGAGTGCTTATCCGCTCTCATCAGCATGGCTGATAAAGGAATGAGCATCATTATTATCTCACCTGTCAAGCCAGCAGCTCCAGATTCTGGAGTATGTCAGAGCCAGGAGACTAGCTCTGCAGGCAGTGATTTAGAGAAGCTCTTCCAAGGTTGGCGCTGGCAGGCCAGGATCCCAGTGACTCAGCTCCATATCATAGGGGCTTTGGAGTTTTCTGGGGGCATAGTGGGACTTCCCTAGGCAGTGAGGGCACGGGGTGGGGCCCAGAGACTTTGGAGAACCATACTTCTAGTGCCCAGGATGCTTGTAAAGCAGAGGAGGCATGTGTGTGAACTGGCTTGTCTAAAGCAGAAAGAAGTCAGTGCTGTTGCAAACGTCCAGCAGTGGAGGAGGCAGGGCTGAGTTGATTCTGATGGAGGGCTCAGGGTGTAGTGGACATTTGTTAACTTTGTAGCTCAGGAGCCATTTTTTTTTTTTTTGAGGAACAACATCCAAGCTTTCCTTTGGGGAATCATCCCTATCTCATGAACACTCCATGAGGTTTGGATGGCTCAGCCCACCCTCATTGCTAAGGGTGAGCATGTGACCTTAGCTAAGCAATAAGTGGAGTCATTTCCCCTGGCCCAAGAGATTGATTCAGGGATGGGTACCTGAGCCATTTCTGGCCAATGAGAATCAGGTCCAGGACTTTTTGGGGGAATAGCAGCTCTCTCTTTTCTGCTGGGTTAGCTGAGATTGTAAGATGTTGGCCTAGAGCTGCTGGCAGCCATCTTGCCACCATGAAGGAGAGTCTGTCTGTGAACGGAACCAGTATTGCACAGAGATTTGAGCCCCTAGATCTAGCTGAGCCTCTTCCCTACCTAGAGAGCCCTGGTGGCATAGTGGTTAGGTGCCTAGCTGCTAACCAAAGGTCAGCAGTTCAAACCCACCAGTCACCTTGCAGGAGAAAGATGTGGCAGTCTGCTTTCGTAAAGATTTACAGCCTTGGAAACCCTATGAGGCAGTTCTACTCTGTCCTATAGGGTCACTGTGAGTCAGAATCGACTCTATGGAAGTGGGTTTTTTTGGTCTTCCCTGCCTGAGGACAAGAACCAGGGAGATGCAGGGGCCTTTCAGATGGAAATCATGTCAGCTTTATTACTGACAAATGCTGGGCTGGGGCATGTGGCTTGGATCTTCGAGCCAGTGTGCTTGCTGAATTTCACCCCTGAGTTTGATAGGCTTACCTGCCCAGACACAGTCATGGCCTGACAACCTGAGGCCTCTCAGATGGGGCCTGCCTCTTGGAGCAGGAGAGAGCTAACCACAGATGCTCTGTAGCCAAGCAGATCCCAAAAGGCAAAGAGCATGGTAGGAGTGAGCTGAGCATGCTGTTTCTTCTCTCAAATCCACCAATCCAGTTGGTGATTCTTCCTCCTCCAAGGTATGAGTGAGAGGGAAGAGACAGGCCAGGAGCATTATGCCTCTAATGGGGCTCCCTCACTTGTTCTCATGAAGCTTAAGGATAGGAGGGTCGCCTGCAGTAGTTACCGTGAGAAGGGGAGGAAGCTGTAGATTAGCCGTAAGAACCTTTGTGCCCATCCAGTTCTGCTAACCTTTACACCTGAACCAGCTGCTTTGGGTTTGAGCGTTAGATAACAATTTCGTCATTACTGAGGGTTTGAGTTTTAGATAACAATCTCATCATTACTGAGAGCTGCATTTAGAGGGAGGGGTCAGATGCTGTCAACCTTTAGAAACATGGGATATGGTAGGGAGTTTTGGGAAAAGGGACTCTATTTCTGACCAGTGGAGAGAGGTGACTCTACCTATAACTGTTATTCCATTGAACTTGAGA